TGCAGGAGTGACCTTGTCACACTTTCCCATGACAGAGAAAGCCATTCCCCAACTTCTAAACACCCTGAGGATTCAGCTCTGCCTTGAGCAAAAATACCTATGCTGAGGTAGGTGGAATGGAGGGTCCCCTAGAAGAACCCCACTTGAATATAAACTTATTTTTAAAAAAATGAGGACCTGGGACTGGAGAGAGGGCTGAGCAGTTGTGAGCACTTGCTGCTCTGACAAAAGACAAGGATTCAGTTCTCAGCACCCAAGGTGGCTCACAGTTATCTGTAATTCTGGCTCCAAAGGATCTGATGTCCTCTTTTGACCTCCAGTTTTTTTCACACACATGGTGCACAAACATATACTCAGGCATGCGCGCGCGCACACACACACACACACACATACACACACACACAGAGAATATAAAATAAGCACTTTAAAAAAAAAGTTCATGCCAATAGAATTACTTAGGGGACCTTGAGTAGAAAATCATCTGGGAAGCTATCCTAGGAAGCCCAAAACAAGCCCTTAAAATAGTCAAAGGAGAAAAGACCCAGACACACAGAGGAGAAGGCCATGTAACAAAAATGGTGGTGATGGGGGGAGTTGGGGTGATTTTGTCACTAGCCAGCAAACTCCTGGAGCCTCAAGCAGCTGGACGAGGCCAGGAATGACTTTCCTCCTGGCTTCTGCAGGGGCCAGATACCAGCTGGCCATTAGGGCTTATTTTATTGGCTAGCCTCCTTTAGCAGAATAGCAGTAGATTTTTTTCCCAGGCCCATGACCTATCTAGTCTCATGTTTTGGTCACTTTAGCAGTGTGATGTGTCAGCTCCATCTCATGACGTTGGCCTTAAATCCCATCAAACCGATTGGTTTCCTCGGTAACGTGTGTGCCACGGTTGCACCAGTATACCTTGCAAGCAGGTTTCTGCTGTAGGTTGCAGGGTTTGTAGCTGGGTCATGTTTGTGATTAGTTTTCTCCTCCAGGAGCCTGAAAAGTACCTGGCAGCACTGTGAATGCTAGTCAGTACGGGCGGAGCTCCAAGCTGGGCACTATCTCTATTTCTCCATGTTAGATAACATAAGTAAGTTGTGTCTTTTGCAGTAGAAGCCTTACTGTCTGGTTATGGAGAGTAATCAGTAGCTTTAGCAGTAGCCTGTGATGTTTGGGGTGGGGTATGTGGTCTTTGGACCAATAATTAAACAATATGGAACCCAGTTCTGGCAGTGGAGGTTTCTCTGGTAGCATATGAGATCTGGTTGGGGTATTGTTTCCTCCGTCATTTAGTAGCTCCATTTACGTTCCTTTCATATATGTGCACATTTTAGGGCATTGCTATAGTGGAGATTCCCATGGGGCTTTCCAGAGTGTTAGTTATCTCCCCACATATTCCTTCCTTCCTTTATCCTGCCCCTCCCCATTTAACCCTCTCGTTCTAAGTACCCCCTTTTTGCTTTATAACACTGTACTCGGTTTCCCCTTCCTTGGAAGATCTCTTTCTCTCTCCTGGTCCCTTAGTAGCTACTTAACCTCTCTGGTTCTTCAGGCTAAAATACATACACACCGGGAGCTTCAAAGCTAGTGTCCACATATAAGAAAAAAAGCATACAATAACCTAACATTTGACAAAGAGAATTTTTAAGCTGTAAAAGTCATGAGTTCACGTCTGAATATATAGTGAGCATGGGTTTAGAGAATGTGATCAAAATGTAGGGTGCTTTTTTTTTATTTTTTCTCTTCTCTTCCTGGCTTTTCCTTCCAAATGTTGCTTCGTTCTGAGAGAAGTTTCCTTTTGAAGTTCAAAGCAGTGCCAGGCAATCTCAGGATGACACTCTTCCTAGTTATCATCTAATGAGAAGAGCCAGGTATGTCAGGATGCCGCTCTTCCTGGTTATTGTCTAAGGAGAAGAGCCAAGTATCTCAGGTGGCTCTCAGAAAAGAAAGAGGTTGATCATTCTCTGAGTCTAGACACTATCCCCAAAGGGTTAGACACCCATCTCTGAACTAACCTGATCTGCAGGAAGAGACCTGGAACACTGCTGTCTCTTGGGTCCATCTGAGTCTATGCTTGAACAGTGTGTGTCAGTCACATTCCCCCACAAGGGCTGAGCACAGGAAATCAGGTAGGAGGAGAACACAGACGCAGGGAAACAACTAATCCGTGTCACCGTCCTCTTATTTTCTCTCCAGTTCTCTGGGGTTTTATCGTTTCCTTCCTCTTGTCTTCAGAGACAAGTTTTGTGCTAGGAGCCAAAGCTACAGACACGAGGCTAACTCGAGACAGCAGTTACTGCAGTCATGAATGCATGCTAACCATGGAGAGGAAGGAAAACCCAGAAATATAGTTATGATGGACTGAAAAGGGCAGGGAAGGCTTTCTAGAACAGTTCAAATATGAGCTTATTTTGTGGGCTGAGTAGGAACTCAGTAAACAGTGACAAAGGCTTGTGCAACTCTATGGAGGAAACAGAAAATAAGGCAAAGCAGAGGAGAAGGACTGAGGGGAACTCCAGGAGGCTCTGTGTGAGTTAGGAGTGATGCTGAGAGGCCTGGAAGAGAGAGGAAAGAATGAAGACCGACTGTTTACTTCTGACAGCAACCCAGCAGGTTGTGCAATGAGATTATAGCCGTCTCTTTTCCTTCGCCCGCTGTTGTCTTGTCTTTTCATGCTCTACCTCGTTTTTGAAGATAGAAAACATAAACATAGCAGAGACAAGTTTTCAGGAGAAACGCAATGGAGACAAAAGTTTAATCCCTGGATGACGGTTCGCTGTGGAGGACAAGACACACCAGGGACATATCAAATGGGGGCAGCTGTGGTGGTGGGGGAGGGGAAGCAGATGAGAAAGTTCACTTCAGGTTGGGAGGTTCAAGGTGATTTGTTCCCAGGGATAGAGTGCTATCCTGCTGTATCTTGAAAACACACACACACACACACACACACACAACTAATGTATATGTTAGGATGCCTCTTGTCAATGGGTTATTGTGAGCAATGTGTTGTGTAAGTACTTCAGGTTAGAAGTAAATTTACTACAAGGCAGTAGAGGATCATATATGATTAGAAGCGCCAAGAACAAAGATTGGCAAGATTCCTGCTCACTATAAGGAATCTTTAAGTCCCAGAACCCCACTATAGCTGCCAGAGACTTAGCATCCGACATTCAGACGATGATTCCCAGGAGGGCAACCTGGGGAGCCCAAGCTGCTTCCAGAAAGCATGGTCTCCTGTCTACCTCTCAAATCTCAAGTGCACGCACACCATTGGCAGAGTCTAATCAGAGCCCTGTTGACAAGAGGTTCTGAGAAACGTGACTTCTAGTTACGGCTTCTCTGTACAAAAGAGACTTTGGGAAGGGAGAGAGCGCACTGGTATCAGAAGTTTAAACGCTGTTACCTGGCACAGGTGTACCGAGATACCAAGGTGAGTCTCCTGTGGAGCTTGCATTTGCTCAGGGTGGTAGGATATCCTTTGGAGGTCAAATCATTCAAGTACCAGCTGAGGTGTCAACAGGATTACCCATTGTATCCTCAGGATCATTATTAGCAGTTATGGGTCATTATGGCTAAGGATTTCAGAGTTCTAAAAACCTCCGCGAGAATCGCATGTGACGTCATGCTATTAAACCTCCCCACTTCTCAAGTTCTCATCTGTAGAATGGAGATGACAGAACCACCAAAGCTTGAGGATTCAATTAAGGATATAAAATACAGACAGAACGTATGGCTGGAAACTCTTGAGAAACAAGGGTTATTTTTATCTAATACCCAGAACATTAGCCGTTACGAAATTCTCGGTGTGTGTCTGCATAAGGATAGTCCAGTTAGGAAGAGAAAGGTGAGGACTGAAGAATGGGAGACATGAATTTAGAAAAGGGCCTGGAGGGACATGGGGAAGGATGAGATGCAGGCAGCTGTATTGGAGGGCTGGTGTGGGAAGGAGGGCTGGCATGGGGAGGTGGGCTGGCTGGCTCTCGGGTAGATGCTGGGCGTGGAGTTGGCAAGCCCACGATCTTGTCAACAGCCTCCCTCATGATGGCTCTGTTTAAGCCGGGGACAGGAACTATAAACAAGTGCCGAGAGTCTATAAAGCCTTTGAGTGCCTAGATCCCATGATGACCATGGATTTAGGTACTTTTTTTTTTGCCCAAATATTAAAACAGAACAAGTAAACACCGCATCTTGTCTCAGGCCCTCACTCCAGCCCCAGAGACTCCTGTGGCTTCGTTTATAACTAACAGATGAGAAGAGTAGAGACCGTGGCTTTCCTGGGTCTGTGAACTTGGTCTAAATCATTCTGGGAATTTACATTTTATCCCTTGATAATTAATCACAGATGAAATATTTCAACTGCCTCTATGACTTTTTCCTTTTCCCGATTCTTCTGGAGGCATGCTCAACCATCATCTGAGTCTTGGTTCCTGGCATTTCCTCTGGGACCAGAAGCTCTATCACAGAGACCTTGGGCAGGCTCAGAGCCACCTTGCTGCCCACAGAGGTCAGGAATTCACAGCCACACCTGTGACATTTCATTGTCACCACTTTGAGCTTATTTTTTTTTAACACAGGCATGATTATTTTCTCAATCTCCATATGCGAGAACCAAAGCATTTGTAGGGTTTTTTTTAACAGTTGTCTTAATCTGCCCCGTGTTAACTGAATGTGTTTGTTATGCAAACTTGGGTGTAAGTCAAGTTCCAAGTAAGCCTTTGCAGTTAGCTGCACTCCTTATCCTAAATAAAAGGCTCAGAATTGGTACCCTGCCTCCCCTTAACAGTGTAATAGAGTTATCTACAATTCTGGAAACCGCGGGCACTTCTGTAAACACAGAACAACTGTCTCTGTTTCTCGGGGTTGTTGAGAATATTAAGTAAATAACACGGGCGTGGGATTTGGCATATAGCAAATGCTCAGTAAATAGTCGTGGTTATTATGTCTACCCGGTCTCACAGCCAATAAAGAGACAAAGCATTTCCAGGGAAGGAGGTGAGTTAGCTGCCTCTCTGCGGCCTAGGGAAGGATTTGGTCAGGAGAAGAAGCAAATGGACTCTTTCCCAAAGAGAGAAAGAGCCTGAGAAATACACAGAAGCAAGAACAGGACTGCTGAAAAACCAAGGAGGACAGAAAGGCCTGAGACCAAAGGAAGAAAGCCAAGCTAAGCACCGCTGCCTGGTGGCTCCCCAGTGAGCGGAGGGGAAGCAGAAGCCTTATCTAAAAGGTAAGAGAGATGCCAGGCAGGGGTGGTGTGCGCTTTTAATCCCAGCACTCAGGAGGCAGAGGCAGGTGACTCTTCGTGAGTTTGAGGCCAGCCTGGTCTACAGAGCAAGTCCCAGGACAGGCTTCAAAGCTACACAGAGAAACCCTGTCTCGAAAAACCAAAAAGGTAAGAGAGGAGGCCTGAGTGAAAAGATACTGGTGGTCCTGCCCACAGGGCAGACTCTTGGCACTCACTAGTCCTAACTCCAGCCGCCTGTGTTGACAGTTCGGCAGTGGGGGGGGGGTGTTCCTTCCTAGAGGGCTGTAGCCAAGCTTTGTTCTACAGTGAGCTGCACTGGGAGCCTGAGGCCAGGGAATGGAGGACACAAGTCAGAACTGAACTCCTCACAGTCAGAGGGCAAGAGACTGCCCTAGGAGACAGCTGTTGGGGGGGGGGGACTGTGCCAGACCCCGAGAACCCAAAAAGTGCAGGTAGGCAGAAGCTCCCCTCAGGCCTTGACGCATACCTGCCCGCTCTCAGTGGCAGGGAGAGACATTCATCAACGCAGAACAACTCGAGTCTGGCTGTGGGCTTTGGAAATATGAAGGCGGGTCCCTGTGTACCAATGCCAATGCTACGGTCGCTGCCCAGACTCCCAGTGAGAGACCCCTGTGTTAGAACATTAGTCACTGCAGAGGGTGTGAAACTGGGAGTCTCTGGAGGGTGGGACATCACGACTGGCCAATAAATCGCAAAGCTAAATATGGTCAGAAGAGGTCCCTGGTAAGCAAATAGGAAAAATTGCTAAAGGGCAGACAGCAGGACAGAGAGTTGTTCCACACGGGCGGGACCCCAGCCTATAGTACAGGAGAGGCAGTTCAGCTCACCCCAACTCACACATAGGTGGCAGCCTCAGTTTTCTCAGTCCACACAGAGGTCGCTCCAACACATCGCCGTCACTTTCCTTGTATTGTCTCTTGTGTTTCATGTTTTTTCTAATTTTCACTCGTCGTTTCCTCTTTATAACTTCTCCTCATATAACCTTGTTCCTAGTTTCCCTCTCCTGCTCCCTCCCCACGAGCTCTTTCCATATCTGCTCTACATAGTTCTTAATTTCATAGTATACGCTCCACTAATTTTGACATTTTGTTTTGTGGTAATTGATGATATATTAGTGAACATTCGATAATTTTAGTTATATGTCTGTATTCTAATACTTTAATATAGTTTAAAATTTTAAAGATTTATTATTTTGCTTTATAAGTGTGGGTGCCTTGTGGGGATATATACACGTGCTTTACATGCATGCCTGGTATCCACAGAGGTCAGAAGAGGGCATCGGATACCCTGGAACTGGAGTTAGGGATGGCTGTGAGCCACCATGTGAGTGCCAGGATCTGGACCCAGGTCCTCTGGAAGAGCAGCCAGTGCTCTCAGCCATGAGTCATCTCTCCAACTCCCTACAGTTTGGCTTTGTGTTGTTGCTGCTACAATATGTGTCTTCTCGTCTCTGATTCCTTCAGGACTGAGCCCCAAAGCTTAGACTGTTCACTGAGAAGAGCCGCAAATAAAACGTAACAGAGGGACAGAGACAAAAAGGTAAAGCAAGCATAGACTCTTGGCACTTGTTTATAGTTCCTGTCCCTGGCTTAAACAGAGCCATCATAAGGGAGGCTGGTGACAAGATCGTGGGCTTGCCAACTCCATGGCCAGCATTTACCCTAGAGCCAGCCAGCCTGCCTCCCCACACCAGCCCTCCAATACAGTTGTATTGGGAAAGCTTCAACTGTCCAATTCAAAGACTTAAATGAGTGAAAAGCCAGAAGATGAGCAATGACTACAAAGAAGATACCAAAAAAAAAAAAAACCCAAAACAAAAAAGCAGATGAAAAAAGTAAAGAAATCAATCCAGAACCCAGAGAAGCCAGCAGTGTCGAGAACAAAGTCAACAAAATGAAGGGGAAAACAGCAATATGGGTGAAATAAATCAGCAAAGGGGAAGTGTGTTAAGGAAATTCAGATTTATTTATTTATTTATTTAGAAAACCCACAACAAACAAAAATGTCACTGCGAAACAACTCAGTGGGAAAAAAAAGAGGGAAAAAAAACAAAAAAGGAGAATAAAGTCGGCAAAATATTTTTTTAAAATATTTTTATGGTTTATTTAACTTTATTTTATGTGCATTGGTGTGAAGGTGTCAGATTCCTTGCAACTGGGTCTTCAGACAGCTCTGAGCTGCCATGTGGGTGCTGGTAATTGAACCCGGGTCCTCTGGAAGAGCAGTCAGTGCTCTTAACCACTGAGCCATCTCCAGCCCAAGTTGGCAAAATATTACATTCAAACATCAGTAAAGAAAAGACAGCCAAGCGGTGGTGGCTCATGCCTTTAATCCCAGCACTTAGAAGGCAGGGGCAGGCTGATCTCTGAGGTCGAGGCCAGCTTGGTCTACAGAGTGAGTTTCAGGACAACTAGGACTACATGGAAAAACCCTGTTTTGAAAAGAAAAGAAAAATCAGTGAATGTGACCACGATGCCCAAAGGACTCAGAAATAAGATCAAGAGACAAAACCTAAGAATCCATGGGATCATAAAAGGAATGGAGATCAAAACTGAAGTCACAAATTATCTACTCAATAAAACCAGCAGAAAATGTTCTAGAGAAAGAGATGGACATCCGAATACAAGAGGCATTTAGAACCCCAAATGAATAACCAGAGAGGAAATTCTCCATGCTATAATCAAGATGTCAAAGACACTAAGCAGAGAAACAATATTAAAAGCTATAAGACAAAAACACCAACGGACATCAACAGCAAACTTACTGAAATAACTGCTCTCCCATCCACAGAGTTAAAAGCCAAGAAAGCTTGGGCTAATACACATCAAGTTCTGAAGGTGAAAAATCTTGCTGTCCCACAAAGATGTCTTGAAAAAACGGACAGAGAAGTAAGGACACATCAAGACAAGGATGTTGTTGTTTTTGCTCTTTTTACTCTTTTTGCTCTTTTGGGGGCCCCCGCCATCCAGCTCCCAAATAAATCACACGGAGGCTTATTCTTACTTTGAAATGCCCAGCCTTAGCTTGGCTTGTTTCTGGCCAGCTTCTTTTAACTTTAAACTATCCCATCTACCTTTTGCCTCTGGGTTTTTTCCTTTTCTTACTCCGTGGCTGACTGGGTGGCTGCCCGCTAGCGTCCTCCTCCTCTCCTTGTTCTCTTGTTCTTTCTTCTCCCAGAATCCTCTTATTTATTCTCTCTGCTTGCCAGCTCTGCCTATCCCTCCTCTGCCTAGCTATTGGTCTCTCAGCTTATTAGATTTACCAGATGCCTTAACCAGGCAAGGTAAAACAGCAACACAGCTTTACATCATTAGCAAAGGCAATGGAAACAAACGTAACACACCTTTACACAGTTAAAGTAACATTTTACAGCATAAACAAATGTAACACACCTTTACACAGTTAAAGTAACATTTTGCAGCATAAACACATGTAAGACAGCTTTACATAGTTAAGATACTAGTCCACCACACCAGACTTTGGTAGAATCGCTTCCCCGCTCTTGCTCTGCCATCAGTTGCTCTGCAACAAATATGATTAGGACAAAATCATAAGCAAGTGGTGGCGTCATCTGGGGGCAGAACATGTAGCCGAGGCGGAGCCATCTGTTCAGAGTGAATTTGCCTGTGTCAGGGAAGAATCACAGGGGAGAAGAGACGTGAGAGCACCAAGCTGTGTAACAGTTTCTGATTTAGAAGGAAATGTGGGGAGAGGGGAAGATGCCACGGTGTCCGTGGATGGCAGCTCCTTGCAGCTGACTACATGGAAGGGAAAGAGAACAAACTATGTACGTGCTGAAGAGCCTTCCTGGGGTGCAAAAACTTGGAACCCGCAGGAAGGTTTAGACGATGAAAGGGGAAGAAAGTGAGTTAGAAGTGATGGAAAATACACCCTTCCAGTCTGACCTTTACTAGAGAGGAAGGGGGATGGGAATCCATGATTCAGAGCTTTACCAGTGCTGGCACACAAAACTTATGCTAATGAAGAAATAGTTAACATCTGAACTACTTGAATTGGGAAAGACTTTTAAACAAGTCCTGAAAGACGCTCTCACAGCCTGGCTCACGAGGCTGGGAGATGTGGGGTTGATGGGATCAGTGTGTGGGTTGCAAGGCAGAGAAACTGAGCAGTGTAGCCCCCATCCCTCAAGACAAAGGTCATGTAATGTTGTGGGAGGTCCTTCCGCCCCTCCAACCAATAGCTGCTGTGATACCAGCCCATTGGGGCGTGGTCTCTCTCCCTTTAAAAAAGCGGCTATTTCCTCTGCTCGCTCTCTTCACTTCCTGCTCCGCCGGAGAATAGACTCCCTTCCTGGTTGTGCAGATGGCTGTTGTCTGAGACGGTGATCTGTAAGTTTTCCCCTTTAAATAAATAACACCCTATTAATCATAACTCCGAACTGGTGTGGCCTTGTTCGTGACTTACGCCTTCAATGTAAACTGAGGCAAGGTAAAGGAAACCAATCCCCCATGGACTGGCTCACATGAGCCCTTGGGAACATTTTGTTTTCACTATGTGAGTATCAAGGATTTGAGAAAGGACAGGCATTACTGAGGGAAGTGGGCATATGAGAGGCAGTGTTTGATGCCCAGTATATTGGTTTAGAAAGAACTTTATTATTATAGGAGACTTAAGGACGAAATTAAATCTGCAGGGACCTCGGGACCGCCATGGGTCTTAGGTGGCTTTGTTGAGCCATGTGGTGGGCTGTGAACTTTCTGGGACAGGAGAGGCTCTGGCAGATCTGAATGATTTAGAAAGACATTTGAATTGAGTTTAAAAAGTGACCAAACAAAAGGTGATCAGAGAAGGGCCACACAGACAAACGGAATATATTGAAATCCCTGCCAGCAGTATGTGTGGGACAGATTCAGTCTGTCTCAGTCATTTAAAGGCAAATATGACAAGATTTGTGTAAAGCCAGAGTTAAAAGGGAAAAAAATCAATAGGAAGCCAAATAA